AGGATACAGTAAATTGTGGATTGCAAGTGTAAAACATTTTAGGGAGAAACACTTTTTTAATGGTCAAATGAGTAACCAGTATGAAAGTGCTGATTAATACAATTTCACTTCACTGTGACCAGTGGATATAATCAAACACATTTCATTTATGTCTGAAACATGCTCACAAAACCATCCTCGGAAACAGCTGCTTTCAAAACTAATTAGGAATTTTTAAAGTCACTCACTGTAAAATCATAAGAACTTCCAAAATATCCACAGCACATCATTCCAGTAACAGTATCCATACCAGATATCTATTTGCACATAGAATACTATTTGTACATAGAATACATATACATAAAAATAGGTACAGTAGAGTCTCGCTTATCCAACATAAACGGGCCGACAAAATGTCGGATAAGTGAAAATGTTGGATAATAAAGAGGTATTAAGGAAAAGCCTATTAAACACCATATGTATTAATTTAGCACGAAAACATTGCAATGTATTGAAACAGTTGTGGATCCGGGCAGGAGACAGATATGTTGGATCAGGGGTCCTCAAACTAAGGCCCGGGGGCCGGATGCGGCCCTCCAAGGTCATTTACCCGGCCCTCGCTCAGGGTCAACCTAAGTCTGGATTGACTTGAAAGCACACAACAACAACAACAATCCTTTCTCATCAGCCAAAAGCAGGCCCACACTTTCCATTGAAACACTTATAAGTTTATATTTGTTAAAATTGTTCTTCATTTTAATTATTGTATTGTTTTAAGTGTTTTTTGCACTACAAATAAGATATGTGCAGTGTGCATAGGAATTAATTCATTTTTTTTCAAATTATAATCCGGCCCTCCAACAGTTTGACAAACTGTGACCTGGCCCTCTGTTTAAAAAGTTCGAGGACCCCTGTGTTGGATAATACAGAACATTGGATGAGCAAACGTTGAATAAGCGAGACTCTACTTTTGGGACAGGGCAATAAAGTGGCAATAGGAAAGATGACCAGGCTAATTAGATTTGACGTGGATGACTAGGACGGTTTTAAATAGTGTATTTTAATATTTTGATAAATGTTTTTTAATGTTTATGTATTGTATGTGAATTTGTGTCCCGGCATTGAATGTTTGCCGTGTATATGCTGCGCTCTGCCCCGAGTCCCCTTCGGGGTGAGAAGGGCGAAATAGAAATGTTTTAAATAAATACTGTAAGTTGCTTGTACTTGAACAAAGACATAGTTGACTTAGACAGAACAGGGGCATAGAATCACAGAGTTGGAAGAGACCTCGTGGGCCATCCAGTCCAACCCCCTGCCAAGAACAGGGACATCACTGCCCCTGTTCTGTCCTCTTCTTCTCTTGCTGCCTAACTAGGCATAATACAGGACATGATGTCATCATACAAACTATATTAGATCACATTTTCCTCATATCATTCATTGCCCATCAGCAGCAGGGAATTACAGAAGACAGTGGCAACATTACTAATACTGCTCTTCTACTTTTTCCCTTCTCATTTCAGTCCAAAACCTGCCTTAGATCTAACTACAGACAACAACTCCACAGTTAGCAAATTTTGACAGGTGCCGAACAAAACAGAAATATGCTGTTAATGGGTTGCTGTGAGTTTTCCGGGCTGTATGGCCATGTTCCAGAAGTATTCTCTCCCAACGTTTCTCCCACATCTATGGCAGGCATCCTCAGAGATTGTGAGCTTTGTTGTTCATTCGTTCAGTCGTCTCCGACTCTTCGTGACCTCATGGACCAGCCCACGCCAGAGCTCCCTGTCGGGATTGTGAGCTAATATGCTCTTAATATTCAGTCAAAAAGTTGGAGACCATGTCTTTCTTAGAATATATGATTCTCCTTGGTTCTACCTTTCTTTTATTATTTCCAAGTTGTGATAGGGCAAGGCAATGAGCTAGGATCTCTATGACTGGTCAACATCAAGATGTTAACATTCTACTACAATGCTTCTAGAGAACAGGCATATTAAGGCGGGGGGGGGGGGGGGGGGGGTAGAAAAGAAAGAGAAGCAATGGAATGCTTAGAATCAAATATTATTGCTTATTATGCTAGACCAAACACATAATAAATATTATATATCAAATACATAATAAAATTTGAAAGTATAATAACTTAGAAATATAGAGAAAAATAAAGAAAGAACTCATCAAACCCAAGTTGTATACAGATGCAGACAGGCACTAGGCTACTAAACCAGTTTTACGCAGCAGCAAAGCATTTCTTCAATAGGAAAAGAGCAAGGGATAAAAGAGCTTATGCTCTCTTTTTTCTTTTTGTTCTATGAGGACACATAGGATCAGAGTTGAAAGAGGCCCTAAAGGCCATCCAGTCCAACCTCCTGCCATGAAGGGATGTACAATTGTAGCACTCCCAACAGACAACAATTCAGCATTTGGGTTGTTGTAGGTTGTTTCAGGCTATATGGCCATGTTCTAGAGGCATTCCCTCCTGACATTTCACCTGCACCTATGGCGAGCATCCTCAGAGCTATTGAGGTCTGTTGGAACTAGGAAAATTGGGTTTATATATCTGTGGAATGACCAGGGTGGGGCAAAGAACTCTGGTCATTCCACAGATATATAAACTCATTTTTCCTAGTTCCAACAGACCTCACTAACTCTGAGGTTGCTTGCCATAGATGCAGGCAAAATGTCAGGAGAGAATGCCTCTAGAACATGGCCATATAGCCCGAAAAAACCTACAACAACCCAGTGATTCTGGCCATGAAAGCCTTCGACAATATATTCAGCATTTCTTTAAAAATCTCCAGAGAAAGAGACTCCACCTCACTCTGAGGCATCATATTCCACTGCTGAACAGCTCTTACCATCAGGAAGTTCTTCCTACTGTTTCCTTCCTATTCTAAGACACCTAGTCTAGAAATTGGAAGTCAACCTAAAAGTTGTACAGAAAGAAGGAAGGACTGGCAAGAAAAATGTACTATACCTGTGTGATTATTATCATTTAAAATTTCCATTAAAATCAATTCCATTTATTTTCAGTTACATTATCTGGGTCATAAATAGCAATTATTTGTGTGATAGTATTTTTATTTCAAGAAATAATATGGAGGAATCAATTACTAGGGTTCCTCTTATAGATACAGCCTCTGGTTAGTGTATTAAGTAAAATACTCCAATTATATGCTGTGAAGGACCTCGGATGAATCATGCTCTGCAAGGCCTTGAGAAGGAAGTCCCGGACAGAGAGCTCTGCGTAGGCATCGTAGCCCATGCAAGAGCAGACTCCCTCTGATACCACAGCTGGCTTCAGTGTAGATCACTAGCCCTTTCTCTCCACATCGCTCCCATGAAGCCAGATAATAATCTCATTTTATTTTGTATGACAGACAACAAGGGCCTTTCCGTGTCTCCCCAAATGGAGCCTGAATGAAGATACAAGCTTCATAGAAGCAAAGGGGCGGAGAGTGTTCTCAAGACTAGGCCATTCCTGGAATCTGTCCGGATGCTTGCCAGCTCTCTATCACCTTTCTGGAATGTGGGGAGGATTTGCAGCACTTTTTCCTTGCAGATTTCTCTCTCAGCCTGTAAATTGTGTTCACTTGCCCCTCTCAGCCTCTGCCTCTCATCTTATGCGGTCCTGCAGCCCTCTCCTGTCTCAGTGCAGCTTTCTCCAAACCAGGAACCTCATCTGACCTCCTCATCTTTCCCAGTAAACCATGTCCCCAACTTCTTAATACTTTCCCACCAACCCAGCTCTCCAGGTTCCTTCTGTATAAGCTGAAATAAACATTTAGCTTCCAAAATATTATCCCACCACTTTTTGTCCAAGAGAAGTCCCTGCTGTGTGGCTGACAAATACTGGAACGAATAATATGCCGAAACTCCTCCCTCCTTTCCTCTTCATTTACCTTTCACCATGCTGCAAAGTCTAGCAATCTATGTCTTTCATTATCCCTATCCCTGCCACTCGTTACAAGCCTTAGCATTCATTTTCCCTCCTGACATTTGCCACTGGAACCCTTTGTGGCCTTCCAAATGCTGTTGGATTCAAGTTCCCACCAGCCTGGATGAATTACAATCAAAGATGTAATTCAACCATATCTGGAGGACAGCAGATTCACTTGTCCTCAGTCTAAATATCTGCTAATTTCTCAATTGGGATCTTTCTGAAGGTTAATGGAAAAGTTATTTATTTGTGTTATGGATAAACAGTACAAGGGATTTCCTCTTTTAACTACGTGAGGGAACTTCACTCACATCTTCTTGAGCATCTTCTACCATGGAAGTACTTTTCTTGGCCTGTAAAGAATTCCTCCTCACTATCACTGCTTTGCCCAGCTGGGGAAAAGGATGTCACAAACCCCTTAATACCATGGTTCTCAAAGTGTAGTCTTCCAGATGTTTTGGGCTTCAACTCCTAGAAATTTCAGCCTAATTTCCAGTGGACAGGGAACATGGAAGCCGAAATCCCAAACTTTTGAAGGATCAAATATTGAGAGCTGTTCACCAGGTGCTAGTGAGAGAACTTCACTTGTCACCTTCTTTTACATAAGAGCATTTATTGCAAGGAAGAGTAATGAATTTCTTTGTTCACCCATCAAAAGGGTCATGGGCCCACCAATACAGGAACAAGGGTACTCATGCATGAGGAAGTTTTAATTTTGAGATATAAAATTAGTAAGTATAGATTTTTTTCTGTTGGATCAAGAAATTCCTCCATAGTGTCAATGTGACACTGGCAATTCCCTTTGTCAACTTGCTTTTAACTTAACTCAATTAGTACTTTAACTTAAAGCATTAGCAGAAATCATTACAGTTTCAAATCCAGATGCAATAAACAATGTATGATTGCTATTTTTACCACTAATAGTAGTAGCAATAGTAAATTCTGTTTGTACAGTGGAGCAATTTGTACAGTGGTGCAGTTTGGCAAAAGTACAGAGATGGGCATATAAACCACCTTCCGATTGCTTTTGGGGTAAAACGTGCATTGTGTTATTCTGAGCTATTATGATATTATCTCCACTCACAGCTCCTTGTAGTTGACATCATACAGAGTTGCCCACTTGTTCTGTTGATGTGGCTGCCATTTTATAGACTGGTAGTTGGGATCCAAGTAGGAGCCATTCAAGCTGTCATTGTCTTGGATCATACCTGTAGTAATAAGAAGATGATATCTTTACATATGCCTACAACCCAATGCAGTCTTCCTATTAGTCTTAATAGATCCTTCCATGCTTTGCTCAACATGAATGTCTTTATTTTTGTTTAGAGGTTGGTCTGCTTGTTTTTCACCCAAGACATAAGAAACAGTCTTCATTCCCTGCTCATCCCAAATGTTGGGAACTCTGTTCCTAGTCTCCATGTAACAGGATGTTTTCCCAAGGCATCCACTACATATGATGATCCTGCCATTCTATCACCCCACTACTACCACCACAACCATTTTGAGGCATATATTTCATTTTGGAATATAAGCAATATCTGAATACTCACAATACTGAGAAGGAGTTATGGTGAAAGGACCACATACCTGGTGAAAGTGGCCCCTGCTGGTGCCAAGGAGGAGTTTGGACTCGGTCAGGGTTGAGTGGCACAGACCCTGTACCTGGCTCCTGCTTTATCATCCCATTGAGCATCTGGGAATTGAGAGTATTTGGGGGTGACTCTGAGTGTTTCCTCTTCTTGGCAGGGTGCACTGGAAGGCTGTGGGGACTAACCATAGAAAAACAGGTAATAAGACAGAAATAGGATGGAAAGAGGCTTGTGTGACCCATGAAAGTAAAGAGAGGTTAAAAGATCAACTAGCCACTCAAAGAACATGTCTGCACAGGAAAATGAATTGGGGAGGGACTTGTAAGTTTTTTTTTAAAGTCACCTGCACTTTGTGGCAGTGTAAACAGTTAGGCTACTTCCTATTAAGAAATGGCCACATGTATTCACATGGCCACCCCACTTTCCTCAGGTTCAGGCAGGGGGTGGCATTTACCTTCTTCTGTTATCCTTGACATTGCAGTGATTACTAGACACAAAATTATCGCATCCATTGATGCTAGCCAGACTGATGAGGTGATTGGAAAAGGAGAAAGGGAGAAAAGAGTGATTCCTCTTTTGCCCTTCCCCCTCTCTAGTGTCACTGCTCTGGCCACAGGAAGGTAAGAATGGTGGGTCAGCATCACCAGGCCATGCAGAATCCAACCAGGTATCAAGCCAGCTTGGTGCTGAGCAGTGTGAAAACCTGCCAGCTGCTGAGCCACAATGTAGTTTAAAGTATGCACCATTTGGGGAGTGGGGCGGGGGGATGTTCTGCAGGTCAATGTGAAATAGGAAAATCCCCGCAGCTCTTGAAGTTCTAAATAAATGTTAGGATTGTGGAGTAACTGGGTAGAAAATAAGTAAAACATCCTCTTAAGTCTCCACTGCCAAGCACAATACTCCTTTTTAATCTAGAAGAGAAAAATGAAGTCAGAGGTTTGTTGAATTCATTACATTTTTTTGTCAGACATAATGTTATGCACAGTTAAATGTGGCTATACACTTGGTTGTAAAAATGCACTTCTCTGTTGCTACTGTTACTATAGATGTAGCTATAAAAACAAGCAAGAAAATAATTGACCTTTTGCTTTCCACAATTAAGTCTTTTAAACCAAGGTTGGAAACCCTGAGTGAACTGTAGCACATAGGGACGAGGAGGAGAGAAACAAAGTGATGAGACCTCTAGCTGATCTTGTATTATAAATCCATCAAGACTATGAACCTCTACAGAGTTCTGGCATTTCCAAAAAGTGCTAAGAAAGATGACAAACATGAATCAGATGTGATAGTAACATAAGAAGAACTGGGTCAAACATCTGACATTCCCAAATAACTACCTAAAAACAAGACCTCTTAGGTAATAATATTGGGAAGATTCCTTCTAGATTTAGTGAACACAGGGAAAAAATAAACAGCAATGAAATGTTTGCACATACCAGCATTACAGATTAGCTTTATACTAACTCCCATTTCCCAGGGAACCCAGAAAGGGTGTCTGAACAGAATTCCCACTTCCTTTGACAGATTTCTACAATTTGCATGATTCATTAAAGGAATCCATGACAGCATAGAGAACTACAACTCAGCCATGTCCTCTTCTCATTGTGCTTTGCTCCTTTTGACTATCATTTGCATTTCCACAACACATGATAAGCCCCCACTAAATTATTTAGCACCATCATCCTTCAGCCTCCTACAACTGCAACTTAGAGCCTACACAGTAGATATACAAAGTCCTTCATCACAAAAGCAGCAAAATCAAGAAGTCCAATGAATTTCAAAGCAATAGTAACACTTCTCTGAATCTTGCCTACCACTGCCCCAGCACTTACTCTGCTCCATGTTGCTGCAGTAGCTGGTGAAGCATCTGTGACTGTTGTGCGTGGTGAAGATCCCCAGGTGAGATGCCCTGTCCAATGGTGAACTGTGGCAGAAGAGGTTCTGCCTTCATGTACATGTCCCGCTGCATGCTGGGATAGTGATGGTTGTGTTGTTGCTGGTGTGGGTGAGGTGGTGGCGGTGGAGGTGGTGGTCCCTGGAGATGGGATGGTGGAGGGAGTGGAGGAGGTGGTGGTGGAGGTGGCGGGTGCTCCAGCCGCGAAGGTGGAGTCATGTGACACATGTTCTCAGGAGTCATAGTTCGAAGGAGGTGAGGATCTAAAGACAAAAATGATAGTAGGTTAATGTGAGCCACATGCATAGCCAGACATTTCAACATAAAAGCCATCTTCTTTAACATTCCTATTATCTTAAGCAGGAATCTTATTTCTGTTCTCAGTCAAGTTTTCACAAGGCCATAGACATGGTTCTTCAAGGGAATGACCATATCTAGGATATTTCAGCACACACACACACACACAGAGAGAGAGAGAGAGAGAGAGAACACCCCTATATATTATCGGGGGTATGTGGTAGGCTGTATTTCACCTCATTGTCCTGTGAGATTTTTTAAAAAAAACAATAACCAGCTTTTAATGTTGTGGCAATGAAGTAGAATTACTGGCACACACTAATACAAAAATTAATTGACCTGCTTCTTGGTTCAGAGTTACTTGCACTGATATTTCTTGAAAAAAAAAAAGATTTGGATTTGATATATGCAGGTGGAGAAAAGATACCTTGCCTTATAAGAGACTAACCACTTATTTCCTCCTTTTATGTCTGTACATTCCCAAGTTTCAGATTTGTTGAATGAAGTCTAAGATGTAGATCTAAATAATCAAACAACTAAGAAAATAAAGTAAAGACCCACATACCAGAAATGTGTAAATAAGGACAGCAGACAGTTACAGCTAATCTGTAAAGCTTTCATGTATGTGAAGTATATAAAAGGCATGACTGAGATGCTATACTGTATGTTATTTCCAGATTTTGTTGTTGGGAAGATGTTTCAGCAACTTGATAATATTATGATTTTGAGAATTAAATAGTAACATGTGGTAACATTTAGAATCTAAAGGCAAAACTACCTTGCATATTATTTTTGGAGGGTTTTATTTCTTTCATGCAGAAGAGATGACACAGGACAACTAAGACCAGACTATATGCACATTTCATGTATCTTGGAATAAGCTGTAGGCCATTCAGAAAAAGCCCTTGACTCAAGTTCACAGCCCTCCTTAGTACAACAAAACTAATGTTTACTTAACTTTGAAATCTGATTTAGAAGTTCATACCGTCTACAGAAGGATCTACTCATTTAGACTGTAGGAGTAGCATTTTCATTGACCCCCAGCTTGTAGCATTAGGGGTTACAACCAAAACCAGGATCAAATTGATCTTGAGCCCTGTATGGGTTATAGTTACAGATGCCCTCTAGATACATGGACAGAGGCTGCATCCACATTGTAGAATTAATGCAATATGACACCACTTTAATGGCCATGGCTCAGTGTTATGGACTCATGGGAACTGTAGTTTTATAGGGTGTTTAGTTGTGTCTAACTGCATTAATTCTGCAGTGTAGATGCACCCAAAGACAACTACCAACAGGCAACACCGTTTCCTATGATTGTTGAGTTGGCCAGCTGATAGGAAGTCTTTACAAACCATTTTTAGGATTAGGAAAGGGGAGCTGGTAATTATAATTCAAGCACTTTGCACAGAGACTAGCTCAGAGGAGACTAGCACTGTGGCTAAATAAACCCTATACTACCTCATCCATTTCCTCCATTTTATCTATTATGCCCTGAAAGGCATCTTTAATCAGGTACTTTCTGATTTAGGGGCTATCTTTTCAGCTTTTAACAAAAGTCCCAAAAATACAAAGGGTCTTGGGGTAGATAGAAACATAAAACTGTTCAACTATTTGCCAGTGGCTACATAAAGAATTGGTACAGAATAACTGACTCAAACACTTTCTTCAAAATCTCTTTATCTGTCTTTCAAAACAGATATAAAATGTATGGACGTTTTGAAGTCATGAGGAAAATGCTTTTTCCAAAATATCAACATTGTAATTTCTGGTCTTATAGTCCAAAACATTTTTTAAACTTATAAGCACCCTTTAGGAATGTTACTTTAGGAATATAAAATGAATTATGGATAACTAGATTTGGAAGGAAATGATTCTATTTGGTATATTAAAGTACACTTGATGTTTTAAAAGAGAAATTTATTAGATAACATAATTACAAATCAAATTTACATTATAACTTCTTTGCTTGTCACGTACGCAGCTGTAATGTCCATAACTGTGGAATCTCATTAATTTTGCACGTTTATGAGGAACAGGCAAATAAAACAGAGGAAACCATCTCTTAGCCATTATAGTGCCAAGAAGACATAAGGACTCATTCTAATTAAAAAAAACTGAGAAAAGGAAATAAGAGTAGAAATTACAATGATGATTGCACACTATATATAATTTTACTTCATAGTTTTTCTGCTACAAAGATATTTCAAAATAATGTGAGGGGAGTGAATATTGTATGTGTGTGAATATAAAAGAAAACGTTTTTTTTTTTTTGTTGACCGCCGCTCTCAGCCCTAGGGCGACTCGCGGATCATCCATTTTGATCAGGTTTCCCGTGCTTGGCTGGAAATGCAGATATCACAACAGAAAAGGGGGCATTTCAGAGTTTGAAAAGTGAGTAGCATGAAGATATGTTCAGGCAAATGACAGTATATATGTTCTTGGAAGTACAGTAGAGCCTCGCTTATCCAACAAAAACGGGCCAGCAGAACGTTGGATAAGTAAAAATGTTGGATAATAAGGAGGGATTAAGGAAAAGCCTATTAAACGTTAAATTACATTTTGATTTTATAAATTAAGCACCAACACATCATGTTTTACAACAAATTGACAGAAAAAAATTGTTCAATACACGGTAACGTTATGTAGTAATTACTGTATTTACGAATTTAGCACCAAAACATCACAATGTATTGAAAGAGCTGTAGATCTGGGTGGGGGGGGGGGGCAGACTGCGTTGGATAATACAGAACATTGTATGAGTGAAGGTTGGATAAGCAAGACTCTACTGTAATGATCTCTTCTTGCACTTCTAATGGATCCAAGGCTTTTGAGGAAATCCCTCTACAATAAGTGCAGAGACTCAGAAAATCAGGAGACCACTGAAGTGAGGGCACAAAAAGCTCTCTGCGTATCTGCCCATGCCAGACTTACTCAGCCCCTGTGCCCTGCACAAAGCCTGAGAGTCCACTTCTTCCCCTCCCCAGGATGACGAAAACAGGACCAAGCCATTCAGGTTCCTCTTCTTCTCCTGGGATAGTGCAGCTGCTTTGGTGGTGAGAGAAAGCAGCTCACGCTGTGGCAAAGTGATCTGGCCTCTTTGCTATATTTAAAGAAGGGCCAGGAGGAATTCCTGGGATTTTTGCAGCGAGATAAACAGAACTCTTGACCTATTCCACAGAGAAAGGAGAAGTAGCTCATTCCACTAAGAACAGAACTGAGGTTTTTCAGGAAGGAATCAGTAGGGAAACTTCTGAATGTTCCAATGAACACCACCCAGTTCTCTCACCTCTGTTACTAGTTCGCTTGCATATTAAACTGCTAAACACCTGACAAAAATCTCATTTTTGAATGGCAAACACAGCTAATGGGACCTGAATATATTCACACATTTCCCTCCCACTTCCCTCCATAAAACTGCCCTAAACCAACAAGAGGCTGAGGTAGGGAAGACCCTCTGTAATGGATCTAGGTCTTCCTGTCACAGGGAAACAGGGAAAAGCCCATAGCATCAGATAGATCCCACTAAAAGATGGCAGGAAGCTCTTAGTGTACTTACCACCTAATAGCAAGTTCATGTCAATCTCCTTGCGTTGGTCTTCATTTCTGACATAGACTTGTGGTTATCTAATTTTCAAGGTGTCCGACAACAAAGTCACCCACAAAATGAAGCTCAAATGCTCCATTTCATGTCCTTGCTAGGCACCCTTTTCCCATTTTCTTCTCTCATAAGGTAAAATTGCACTTCTCCCTCCCTCCCTCTCTTCATACACCTCCTATGTTCCTGTTCCTTCCCACCCGCCCACCCTCTTTGCGAAAGGAAGCAGAAAAACAATAGCCGAAAGTCTAGGAATATTTACTAACTGATAATCTCTTCACGTATTGCAGCAGTCTGTTTTTCCCCTGTCCGATAAAGATTTCAGAGCCAACCACTAACGCCAACTAAAGAGGGGGGTAAGGCTGGTGTGTTCAAGCTCTAATCTTAGCACTTACCATTCACCTGCTGGGGGGAGTATGCTTCTGATCCAGAGTCCGGGGGAGAGTCCGGTAAAGTGCTGAAAAGCAATGGAGAAAAACAGAGGAGAAGGTCAAGCAAGTATCTAGCAAAATTGATAAGGCAAAGGATATAAAACATCCTTAAAAATCTAAGGTGTGGGGAATAATAAGAAAATCACAGATAACTTCCATTACTTGTAAAATTAGCAGTTGGATTAACATGCATTTTCTGATTTTTTTCCTCCTTCAAAATAAAGATGGATGTCAACATGGCCTCTCTCCAGGAAAAGTTAGAAAAGTTTCTTTTTTTTAGACCACAACTGACAGGATCCATATGACATGTGTTAAGTGCCCATGATTCTGGAAACTGTGGTCTTCAGAAGTAATGTTTTCAAGCTCTGCCCTATGCACAGGTCCCACAGCACCAATTCTTCATAAGCCCAACCTGCCCCCTGCCCCAAAGCACCAGAAACTTTCCACAATGAATGCCCTAAATTTTCATGCCAGATCCTACCAAAAACAGAGCCTATGACTTATTTCAGCCGGTATCTTCTCACACCTGCTGCCTGGCCTATGCTACCCCCACAGTGAGCCCTTTGATTTTATTCACAGACACATCTCACTCCATGGCCATTTGGTTGGTCTGCTAAAAAGACTCCTCTCTTCGCCCAGAAGCTTCTCCTTAGATAAAAGAAACCCAAACAGATAGGCATCTGTTCCCCAGAAAAGGATCATCGCAGATACAGAGGAGGCTTTTGGGGAGACTGGCTCTCGTCCCAAATTTGGTCCATCAAAGGCAAAAAGTGTAAGCTTAAGGTCCAGACTGTATTATCACCATATAACCAAAGGCTGTAACCGTCTAGGAAGCAAACCCCACTGAAGTTACTGAGAGTAGAATTTGGCCACAACCAAATACAGGTACACAACTGATAATTCTACTAGTCATCATCAACAACAATCTAAAACTGCTTATATTAGCACCATCAAGCTACAAATGGGCTGGCAGAGGAACAGACACATTGAGTCTCCTTTGTGGAGAGAAAAAGCAGGGTATAAATAACATAAATATAATAATAACCGTCAGCAGGAAAGTGATTTTCTGTCCACTTTTGATGGATTTTCATAGAATCATTTAGTTGGAAAAGACCTCGTGGGCCATTAAGTCCAACCCCCCACCAAGATGCAGGAAAATCGCATTCAAAGCATCTCCGACAGATGGCCATCCAGCATCTGTTTAAAAGCCTCCAAAGAAGGAGCCTCTGCCACATTTTGCTTAAACGGAGTTTCCAACAGTATCTTTTCAATAGATGATTCAGAAGTATCGGGTCTACATTAAGGCTAACTAAGGGCTCTTCCACCCAACCCTATTTCCCAGAATATCAAGGCAGACAATCCCACATCATCTGAGTGTGGACTCAGAAAACCCAGTTCAAAGCAGATATTGTGGGATTTTCTGCCTTGATATTCTGGGATATAGGGTTGCATGAAAGGGCCCTAACTTTCACTATTCCACTTTCAAGATAAAGAGTGACTCTCCCTATCTCCTTCAAATCAAATCCAACCCCGGCGGCCACTACAAGGTAAAGCCCTTTGCAGGTCAATGAGGTCAGGCTCAATCTAAAAGTCTAATTCTAAACATACCTGCTGCCAGTAGCTGATAGCAACTGCTATCAATGCTGAATGGCAAGGTCAAGTAAACAGAAGTGAGTAAGATGCGACTGAATTGCGTGGGAGGAAATTGTTTTTAAAGTGTAACAAAGCCAAGAATAAATGAGCTAATGAAGGGTCACTTCAGGACAACACCAAACGTCCCACCTGTGCTTGTAATCAGGGTAATTCACTGGAGAGTAGCTCACTACAGACCTTTCCAAAGCTATTTATGTCATTAGACTGAAAGTACCTGCAACAATTACTTACCAGTTGAAACCTCAGGCATAAAGCAACTCTGTCACCTTTGGACAAGTATCGGTATGACTATGGTCTGATTGTTTATTTATTTGTCTGACATATTTCTAAGGGGGGGGGGGGAGTTTATCTAAAGCCACTTAAATAAAAAATATGCAACTATAGACAATTGGATTTCAACAACATAGCATGTCACTTCTCAAAATCATCTCATTTTTTATTTCTGAATATCAACATGTGTAGAATGACCTGCCTATTCACATGTCTCTGTTTTTGTTTTAGAGCTATGTCTCAACAGTATATTGTAGGATCACACCATGTATCTGTTTTGCTGGCAAAATGACCCGTTACTGATATAGTGAGCCATTCTGGGGAAGAAGTCCAAAATACAGAATTCTTCAATGCTGGAATCAAACCTCAGTTCCTTCCAAAACAGACTTGGCTTTTGCTGGCTTGGCACAAAAGGAAAGGGATTCTGATCCAATCCTACTGGTCCTGTGGTTTTTCTCAGTTTTGACTATCGACATGGTGGGAATATGGAGGGTGGAAAGAACATCCAGATTCAGCAGAATAATAATAAGGGTTTTTCCCCCTCAAGAATCGTAAGAGTTTTATTTGCTGGGAGGGGATTCAACGGTGGGTTCGTAGGTGACTGTGGAGCCCTATTCCTAACCTGTATGTTCTCCTGCAGTGAGGGCATTGGTTTCCAGATGGAAGGTGGTCCTGGTCTAGGTTGGCTTGATGCGCCTTCCTCTTGGCACGTTTCTCTTTCGCCTTCCATTCATGCCTCTTCAAATTCTACAGCACTGCTGGAAACAGCTGACCTCCAGTTACAGCGCTCAAGGGCCAGGGCTTTTCAGTTCTCGGTGTCTATGCCACAGTTTCTAAGGTTGGCTTTGAGCCCATCTTTAAATCTCTTCTCCTGTCCTCCAACAGTCCGTTTTCTGTTCTTGAGCTTGGAGTATATTCCTGCTATGCCAGGAATATACAAGTAAAGCACTCTTGAAAGATACCCATTTTCCTTTATTCAAAGACCTCTAACAATGGAAAGTCCACCAAGATCTGATGCAATCCATTACACAGTTAAACAGTTGTTACAAAGAATTTCCTCCAAATATTTAGGTGAAATCTCTTTTCTTGCAATATGAATCCATGAGAATCCTTCTGAAACTCCTTCGTCATTTCTTCACCCAGTCATTGAATAGAGTTTTCCTCTGATCCAGATTAACCTTTTTCCTGCCTTCCTCAACATAGCCATTTTGTGGCCTGCAGGAGGATGAGGGTAGCTGAGTAAGGAGGACTGCCACTAGTTATGTTTTGATAGGCAGCACATGACAACATCATCAGTCTCTGGGACTTCTGCAAAATCCCGAAGGAGTCGCAGAATTGCTTTTCCACAGGACTGTTCCTTTACTGGGAGAATGATCAGACATAAAGATCAGTTGCATATATACTTCCTAGTTATTTCCTCAGCCATCCACACAGATTACATTAGTCAATGCTGAACAGAGCAGCCTCAGTCAATATGCACACTAAAGATGCAGATGTGGGCATTTCCAGTGCCTTGTGTAATGTCGAGAATGAGGCTAGCTGCAGCCATAATTGCCTCTTCTGTCTCTGTGGACAAAACATGTTAGTGAAGCAGTTACATGCTGCATTCTTGAAATGGTGCTGGGTCACTTTATATTTTTATGGAAACTGCCCTAGGTGGCCTTTCTGCCCTCATCAGAAGCCTAAAATATTTCAAACAAACAAATAAACAAACTTGGCATAATGTTTCTAAGTTTTCCAAAAACCAGGACATTCTCTTGTTATCTGAGGCTACCAACTGATTCTTGCAGATCCATAAAAAAACAAAACAAAACACCAGGATTGAGTAAGAATTTGTATGTCTATATACCTAGGAGAAATGGGAACAAAAAGAAAAGGGAAGGGGTACACTAAAAATATCACATGAACTTTATTTCAAAGGGTTTCAGCTCGTGTAAGTGCAAGGACATGGCAGACAAACAATGAATGGGATAATCCCAGTAAGATGAAATAAAACTAATTTAGAGAAAGCATAGTATAAACACAAGAATATGGAATGAGACATATAATGAAACAATTCAAATGTCTAGTTTGAGTTCGATGAAAGATTACAAACTTTCAGCAACACTGTATTGTCAAAGGCTTTCATGGCCGGAATCACTGGGTTGTTGTAGGTTTTTTGGGCTGTGAGGTCTGAGGATGCCTGCCACAGATGCAGGCAAAACATCAGGAGGGAATGCTTCTAGAACATGGCTATACAGCCTACAACAAGCCAGTTTCAGCAACACTGTGAAAAAAACAGGAGGATAATATTCAGAGGAAACAAACCTCCTGGGTGTCACTATTAAGGAAGACATGACCTGGGCGTTCACAGTGCAGTGTTGGTTAAGAGGGCCCAGCACAGATTGTATTATCTGAGACTTTTAAAGAACCAACACAACTGAATGAAAAACTGCTAGTGACTTTCTACCACTGTGCTATAGAGAGTGATCTAATTTACTGGATCTGCATATAGTTTGTTAATCGCATAGTGACAGATAGGAAGCTGCTCCAAAAAGTTAATTACTTAACAGAGAATCACCAGTTGCCCTCTCCCCTCCTTGGAAGAATTGTATAATTCCCAATGCCTTAAAAAGCTCAAAATATTCCTAAGGCTGCATCTCACCCTGGATATTCTTTTTTTGAATTGGTACCATATGGCAGATGGCATAGGATGATAAAAACAAGGACAAACAGGCTGAGTGTTATCTTTTATCCTAAAGCTGTGACTATACTGAACTCTATGGCATTAGGTATTGTGCAATAGAAATTAGAATGTGGAAGGACGAGTGCTTTGCTTTGTAATTTGGCATGAGCTCCTGCGGTTAGCCCCAGCTTCTGCCAACCTATCAGTTCGAAAACATGCAAATGTGAGTAGAGCAATAGATACTGCTCCGACAGGAAGGTAACAGTGCTCCATGCAGTCATGCCGGCCACATGACCTTGGAAGTGTCTATGGACAACGCTGGCTCTTTGGCTTAGAAATGGAGATTTGCACCAACTCTCAGAGTCGGACATGGCTGGACTTAATATCGGAGAAAACTTTTTACCTTTACTTTTCATAGTGTAATCATGGGGTACAGGAAGGAGAATAACTTGCAAATGGAGGAAAAAGGAGTGCACAAAATTAAAAGATGATCAATGCAAACCGGAATCAAAAGGAGATGGATGTGTAGTAGAATAAACAAGTACAGGTCAAGGTTTTAAAATTGTGCAGATAAATTCCTGGGAAGCTTGGTAAGAGTTGTTTCAATTCTGTAGGAGCAACAGATTACCATCAAAGGTGAGAAAACGACTTAGCCCAAACCAATATTTATTTATTTACCTTATTTATATCCTGCCTTTCTCTACTCAAGGCAGCTTACAATCACACCATAAAATCAAGGGTTTAGGAAATGAAGGGGAAAAAATGGAACAGGAACAATATACTCTGTACAACAGCATCTAGTAAAATTGGATGTCTTTGTAATATTGATTTGGCCTATTTCTGATGAACTATATCCCTTGTTAAATATAAAGAATGCAAGAAATATGTTTTTCTGAATTATTTCAACTTAATCAAATTGGGGATCCTCTAAATCAGTGGTTCTCTACCTGTGAGTCCCCAGGTGTTTTGGCAGTTATAACTGTGTCAAACTACATTAATTCTACCATGCAGATGCATCCTTAAACTCATGCACGTTCTGTGATGGTAACCTCCCCTGTCTCAGCATCTTGAATCTATGTTCTTCTTTTATTTTAATGGTCTCTCAGTCCACTTGGCCAGGTGGATAGTCTATTCAAGAACTCATTTTAAAAGCTTATTGTGGAGATAATATTTAATGGAGCTGCATCTTCTGAAATTCAACATCTGACCATTCCTTCTACTCGTAGTACCACTTATCCCTGCTTTGAAATACTTTCTCTTCTTGCTTGTCTGTCATTTTTTCCTACCCTCTTATCTTTCAGCTTCTTAACCAAATATTTACAAAAGTGTTTGTTTATATCCCTAACACATAGTTGAGCTGGACCAATGTATTAAGCAAGCCTTCCTGGCAGAGTGAATAACAGACCACTGCTTGTTTTGCAAACTTAGACCCTGAGGTGTGACCAGAAAGCTTGCCAGCAGGAGACAAAAATTGCATTAGAAGGGGGAAAAGCAACCATCTTTACAGAAGCTCTCAGAACAATTAGATGCCCTCAATTTTGGCAAAAAAGAAAAGAAACAATTAGAAGTTTATTAAATTTTGTTTGGATTTTGAAGCAGGCAAGGTGCTATCTTACTGGATGGCCAAATTAAGGATGAAACGATGCCATTCCAGATTGGTTCATTCTGATTTCTTTAGACAGACAGAATACACAATAGTCTATACTTGTCGCTCTGAAATCTAGCATCCGAGTTTTACCTACTCATGTTTTAACAGTGAAAAATCCAGCAACCCCGTCTAGTTAACAATTACATTTCATTAAATCAAGTAAAACTGTAGAATCCAGCAATTACTCGTACATGTAGTAAAATGATGGAACAATTCAAATAAGTAAAAAGACTTGTGAGCAAGAGGTGCTATTTTGCAGCGTAGTAAAGCATGAACCTAAATAGATGCAGATATATGCATACATGTTTAAATAATGCAATGACCTTATTTCAAAATTCCAAGTAGAGTAAGTGCTTAGCATTTCTTGTAGTTCTAGGACCCATGATACCAAAATCTGTGAATACTCAGGTGTCATTATATCCAATGGCATAATGTCTTTATATAAAAGAGTAAAATCAGGCTTTGCAGTTTAGAATATTTTGAGAGGGGGCATATTTTCAAGCCTTGGATGGTGAAATCCATGGATGTAGAATCTGTGAGTACATAAGGGTTCCTGGAACCAAACTCACGTGTATACCAAGGGCCCATTCTCTTCATTAACACTCCATAACAGTAATGTTGACCTTTGTAGCTCTAGCAGCTGCTCCTTTCACTGTATGTGAATGCCAGCTTTCCAGTTGAAGACTGGAAATTAATGGCCTCCTGGCACCCTAAATGATTGCCCCATCCTCCCTTGTCCACAAAATGGCTGAGGGAGTTGTATTTGCCCTTTGAAGCACTACTGGAGACGGAGAATGGTTGCAGGTTTGAATCTGGGGAGAGGCGTGAGCTCCTGCTGTCAGCCCCAGATTCTGCCAACCTAGTAGTTCGAAAACATGCAAATGTGAGTAGATGAATAGGTCTCGCTCCAGCAAGAAGGTAACGGTGCTCCATGCAGTCATGCCGGCCACATGACCTTGGAGATGTCTACAGACAATGCCGGCTCTTCAGCTTAGAAATGGAGATGAACACCAACCTCCAGTCGGACACGACTGGACTTAATGTCAGGGGGAAACCTTTACCTTTTACTAAAAATGGATGTCCATAATTCCAGGTTATATATGCATTCATCATCAATAGATTTCCAGCCAGTAAGTAAAGTAATTCCAGCATTGAGTGTATACTGTGGTTCATTTCTGCCTTGCAATTAATTCATGACAAATTTATCTCCTCTTGATATATATTATCTATTTCCTCCTAACTACAAAAAGTCCCTTCTTGGTTTCCATAACTGCATTATTCCCACAAAGTCCGATCAAGCTGCCAGAACAATGAATCCCTCTTGTTCTGTTCTTTTAGGAATGATTTAATTGTTATCATATTCAATCATTTGCAGAGTGCAGGAAACATATCATCTCCCTAAATTCACTTAACATTTAAAAACCTTAATCTTTCTATATTTTTTGAAGTGGTGAAGTGACATACTATATGGGAATTTAGTCTGGTATTCCATGTTTCTTATGCTTTGAAAGAGTTATCTTACGGTATGTCCACTGGCCATTTTCTTGCTTCCCCATTGGAGTGTCACAAGCAGATATTGGATTAAGAACATTAATTAATTAATTAAATAATGGGATTGAGATATTGGAATAGTTTCTGAACATGAACATCTTTCTCCCAGTGGAAGATATTAAAGATACTTTTAATTTTGCACCCTGACCAATTTTTCACACTTAAAATACAAGTCCTGCATTTTCCTCTTCTTATTGGCACTCTCCTCAGGTATCTACTCTCACCTTTAACACTCATAAAGAAGTACAATTAAATGCCATTTAAACTGTGTTAATTAAAATTGACACAATACAGCACGAATAACATCTAAATTAATTCTATGGAAACTAAAATACTTTAAACTTTTAAATATAGTTCTAAGTTTCCAATTTTAGCATTCATGTTTGAACATCTCATTCCAAGTTTTCTTCAAGTCTGTTCTCTTTACGTTGCCATCCTTCCCCTTACACCCCAAAAGATAATTTCTATGTTAATTTGAGACAACGTTCATACAAATCTTCTCTTCTATTTCCTCTATTGTGTCACAATTTTATGAGAGAATATGAATGGTTCAAATACAATCAATTAACTCCAGACCTGGGAATAGGATCTTCTACAACCATATCCACGTTCCTCCTTCGCTCACTTACCCAGGTGCGTAGGAGGCCTTGAGCTCTGATTTGATTGGTGGGGGAATGTTGTTCAGGCAGTGTCCACCGAGGTAGCCCTTGGGCACCACCATGCCACTGTTGTTATTGCAGTTGAGGTGAGCACTATAGCTGGGTCCACATGGATTAGGCAAAGGGGGACCATGTCGGATTGGAACTTGTGTGCTTGGAGGGCCATGATGAAGACTGTGTCGGATTGGGATTTGGGTGTTTGGGGGAGCATGATGGAGGGTACCACTGGTTATAGCATTAGTCACATGACCAGCACTGGAGAGAGATGCATTCACACTGGCAGAGCTGGAAGGCTGAGCATGAGGGTAGCCAGCTGAGGCTGAGATGTCAGTGATGGAGTCCAAATCAGAGCTGGAGGAAAGGAGTTAAACAGTTGAAAGTTAAATAGCCGGAATAATATGTATTATGATGTATTATATACCTTTTAACAGCAGCCTTAAGAAGTCATACATACTGTGTACTATATACAGAAACAGATTTCAACCTTTTGGCTCATGACTCAAAAATAGATACCAGTAGAATGGGTCCAGATCAGTGATTCCTGATCTCTAGTTCTCCAGGTGTTTTGGACTTCAAATCCCAGAAACCTCAGCCACCTTGGCCAAAGATCAGGGATTCTGGGATTTAAATTCCAAAGAGAGAGGGAGAATGTGAGAGGGAGAAACTATGGAATTCTGAAAATAAAATGCATTTGACCCACAATAAATAGAAATCATTAATTATCATTAATTATCATAAAAAATATGGATGAGTGAATCGGAGAGAAGCACAGCCATGCCTTTGACACAATGGATGATGGTGGTGGTGTCTACTTTACTTCAATTTTCATCAACATCCTGCTGTGCTATGAAAACTACACCGAGGGCTAGGAAAAATAATTTACCAATTCTGAATATTGTTCTGATTTACCAATTCTGAAAATAATTTTCCCTTCAAAGATTCTTGGCTTATAAAGTGTGATTGGAAGGCTGCTAGTAGCTTTATGCTCCCATGAGATGTTCAATGCAGAACATAAGAGCTTTATACCAGTAAATTATATGGAAGCACCCAAGAGATTATTTACATCCATAATAATTAAACTCAAGAAACTATACCTTTAAAGTACTAAGAATTTGTTTCAATTTCGTATGATTTTAACTACTAATATGTTTACTAAACAGACAGTCTGGGTAAGATGGTATCTGGGTAAGATGGTATCTGACAGTCTGGGTAAGCATTAGTCTTTAGATAATGCACAATTGGAAAATCAAGCTCAAATATTTTGATTTTTTTATAAGGCCATGCAGACTTTAAAAAAACTCCAGTGGTTCATCCAAGGAAATAAGGATTGAAGAAGAATAATGTGGAAGTACAGAAGGTTCAGAGACAGGAAGCAAAGGAATATCATTGAGTACATCACCACAACACAAACACAAACCACACCTGCCCATGTCAAAATGCAACCATCTTGTGCTGCAATAGCATGTGACTATCATTTCTTATTAGGAATACAGATGGAAAGAAGGCACTTACATATCTGGTGAGTCTTCCTTGCCAATGTATTCTTCCAGGATGCTGGTGTCAATATTTGATGGTTCAAGAGCTCCATTGATATCATGACCTGAAAAAAGGCAAGATGTAGAGGAAAAGCTATTAACAAAACTCATTAAGACAAAATGTCACTCTTCTCTCAGAGCCAGAAAGAGGTCTGATGATGGAAATTCCCCAGAAGAAAAATGCTGGATTAAAATCAGGGGATGGAATTTGTTTAAAAATGGGGATTTGAAAGGGTAAAAACTGAATAATGGTGTATTGTTCCAAAACCATCAGCTGGAATCCAGGAGATTGACAACGGAAGAATGGAATCCAGTCGCAACCACTTTTATTCACAAGGACTCAGCTGTGGCAAAGAAATTTGAGTCAGATTGGTGGAATAAAATGTATTTATGAATATAGTATTATTCTAGAAGTATCCACATCAAATAAGACACCAGCCACCAATATTTTAGCGAGATCACAGCAGCAATGATTACTTATACAACCGTGTGGCCTCATCTGATCATAATGCTAAGTTATGGTTTAGCGTTACATAAATAAACCTGAGTAAGCCTCCTCCCCATATACTTCCCTTTCCTCCTCAAGCAAAAAGGAGACAACTTTCATTTATGGTTGAACATTTGCTTCCATTTTGGGTTGATTGCATTTTAGTATTATATCTACATGAAAATGAGCTGTAAGTGTTAACTATCATTTATTGAACCAAATCACATTCAAAGAGTGATTTATGAAGCTGTTTTCTTATAATTTATCATAGTTACTAAAGATCTGGGTTGTGATGCAGCACTAAATAGTTAACTGACAATAGAACCAAAAGCTTTCTATCTTCTCACATCTGGGCTAGAAGAAGCTGGAATGAATCTGTCCATAGATCCAACAATATTTTATTGGTTTTATTGTTATTACTGTATAACTTGGTATTTAATAAATAAACTAGTGGGCAGATATGCTGGATAAATATGCTCAAGTCTCTAATTACAATAAAGACACTGGATCCCTAAGTGCATCAGATCTTGAAAGCTAAGCAGGGTCATTCTTGGTTAGTATTTGGATGGAAGACTGCTACTGAATACCATCACTGTAGACTACATTTCAGAGAAAGGAACTGGCAAAACCACATCTGATTATTTCTTGGCTAAGAAAACTGTATGAAATTCATTGTTTGCCATAAGTGGACAGGCGATTTGAAAGCCCAAACACACACAATCATCCTTCATCCAAGTAATCACCATAATATGAGAAAAAAGCATCGCTAAATAGGAGAAGAGAAAAACTTTGGATTCTTTCCTTTCTGAAGAGTTATCTTACTCTTAGTGATAATCATTAGGGTAATTTGTTACCATTATTGAGGACAATAATCATGTCCAAAATTTATAGTTATTATTAACAGCATCAAGAGTGAGAAGGACAGGAGAAGGTATCTGACTTTTAGGGTAGCAGTTCTTGGGATCCCCAGATAGTGATAGACTACATTTATAATCCATGCCCACTAACCAGACGAGGTCAAATTCTGAGACTTAAGCCCAAACAACATCTGACACTTTAGATTAGAAGCAATTATTCTAAAGCCCATAATTATGAGTTTGTGTTTTTGAAACAATCCAAGCCAGTTGCACGAGGAAAGGATAGCTTTGTCTTTTTTTTCTTATGCAACTTAGCTAATCATCCACTCACCCCATATGCTCTTCCTCCCCTTTAATAAAAGCAGGCCTATAGGTCGTGTTTTTTTTTCCCTGCTTCGGTTTTGCCGATGAGAAATATTTCAGTTTTGTGTATGGGCAGTATCATACCTATTAGGGATGTAATAATTCACCAGGTTTCTTCTCAAAGGAAACAACAAGTAATTGTTAACACGCTTCTCCATTAAGTAAGAGATTTTCCAAAAAAAGTATCTGTAATTCAGGGCCTACCCTGTAGAAAATTTGCACATGGTTCTTTTGCCTAGAAAACAGCAATTGCTGTGCAGAAAAACAACCACATGTGAATTTTGTGTAGATGTCCTCAACTGTGAAGATTTTCATTCAGAAAGAATTCTTTGCCTTGAGGTTTCTCAACAGTCAAAAAAGAAGTTTTTGATCATTTTGCAAACAACCTTAAATTAAGGTAAAGATTTTCCCCAACATTAAGTCTAGTCGTGTTCAACTCTGGGGGTTGGTGCTCATCTCCATTTCTAAGCCAAAGAGCTGGCGTTGTCCGTAGACACCTCCAAGGTCACGTGGCCAGCACGACTGCACCATTTGATTACAGTTGGGCCATTAGTTAAAGCCTACATCCACCAACTTTTTACCCACTTGCTCCCACTTTTTTGAACAAATGCTCTTCACCTCTTTAGAACAAATACCACCTCTTCTCACCTCCATATCCTTTCTCCTCACAGTTCATAGCTCATTTAGGAAAATAGCTGAACTTTCTTTTCCTCTGTCCCTCTTATACTCCTTTTCTCTCGAACCCTTATAGTGAAAAATGCTTTGGATTTGTTGCTATAAAAAGCTGTATTTATCTATTTCTGAACACTCTGGGATTTGTGCGCTATTCCTGAGTGCCGAGGCATTATCAGGAGAGAATCCTCTGATTGAGCCTTTTCCTGAATGGCTCAATCACTTCAGATTAAAATGATATGTCACTCGCTCACCGGACTAGGACACCCGCAATCAAAGGAGTCTCCCACCCTGCACCCCACTTAGACGCATTCTGGGTCAACCAACCAGAAAGAAAAAAAATGGGGTGGAAAACAGGGTTTGGACCTATCAGAATGTTACTTTGTGAAAATCCCTTTCATACCAAGACAGGCAAATCAGCAGAAATAAATCCAGGGAGGAATTTTGCCAGAAGGGATGGAGGGGGGGGGGGGGGGGGGGGGAAAGGGAGAGTCAAGGGAGGGAAGTTTTTTCTTGGCCACACAAACTGGGGAAGACTAGATCTTTAATACAATTGTATTGAAGCATATCAATGTTTGTGCCACATCGAGGATATATCAACCCAGGAAAAATATGACTTAATTAGGTTTACACAGCACACAGTGTTTATTATGAAAAAAGAAATGTTAATCTTCACTCATGAACATCTCTCCCCCTGAAACCCCTAGAACTTTACACAATATTTCAAAGTTGGTGTCCCATCACTTCCCATGTTTTATTGTCCTGCATAAATATCCACTTATTAATTATATCTAACATCCTGCCTTTGTTTAAACTGTGAATATTCTTTCTTTCTTTCTTTCCCAAACAGTATTTAATAATAAAAACAGGGATTATGTTTCTCTCACAGATACATAAAATTTCTGTTAACCTCAAATATACTTCCTACTTCCTTTAAGTAATACAATGTAATTCTGTCAAATGTCATGGACTGAAATTGTAATGAACAATCCTACTTTTAGAATTTTGTAACATCAGGTCTGGAACCCTTCCGTGAAATAAATCCACAAATGTCTGTAGGTAAAGTAGGGCTATTGAGAAACAAGAATAGTGTATCAGCATGCTTGGGGACATACAGAAGTTTCTGAAAAAGTTTTTTTGGGGGTGGGGTGGGGAGGACAATAAAGATACCTCCCAAGTCCTGTCAACATCCAGTTGAGGACTATGCAATGGTATTGATCACAATGACATGGGTAACTAGAATTGGGATGAAGTGCATGGGGGGGGGGGGAGAGCACAAGTGGCTGAAACTGTACATGGCTCAACATTTTGCTTCATGTCTCAATTCTTTTAAATTTTAAAATATTCCACCACATATTCTTGGAGCAACAGTGAAACTTCCCTTCCTTAAATGGAAAACAAACAGTGTATTGTTGTTGGTCTGAGCCTTCAAGTTTTTGGGGGTTTTTTTACTTATGGTATCCCTAAAGCAACCTTATCACTAGTTTATTTCTTTTTTCCCTAAAGGAGGTTTATTTTTGTCCTATAATAATAATAACAAAACTTTATTTATATTCCACCCTCCTTGCCTCTCTTTATCTGAGACTGAGCATGACCTGCACTAGATCACTCCGTGTCTTTCCATGGTCAAACTGGGAACTGAATCCTGACCTTCCAGAGTCTGAGTTCAACACTCAAATCCCTATAACCACCTTGGCTCAAGCCAAAGCCTACTTTTTGTTTGAACTACAGAACATGTCCTAGGAAATAATTAATTTTAAAAGTTATCCATCAAAGTTATTTAACAAAGAAATTTTGAGAAACCTATATGCAGAAGATTTACAGTATACAAAAAGTAAAATCAAGATGTGCTTTTTGGATTTTAATTTTTATTCAAGTCATGAATGACTGAATCTGTAGATGCAGAATCTGTGGATATAAAAACTCAACTGTATTGCTTATGGCTGAACTACTGCAACATTGCTCATACACGAACAAGAGGTGAGATTGTTTTATTACAAGTGTGATAAGTCTGCATTGTATCTTTTTCTGAAACATTTAAATAAATAAATAAATAAAACCATGGAAACTGCAAAGCTTTCCATCATAATCTTTTAAATCAAATATTTTATATTACTAGTGATATTGTTATTAAATGCCTGAACATAATAGGAAGTTCAGCATCATAACAGTTTTGAGTCACCCAAACATCCCCTTGCCAAAACTGTTCCTAATACAACAGCTTCACAATAGAGAGACATCATGAGGAGGAGGCTTGGAGGGCGCCTACACTGTAGAACAAGTGCAGATTGACACCACTTTAACTGCCGTGGCTCAATGCTAGGGAATCCTGAGCTTTGTCATTTGGTGAGGTACCAGGACTCTGGAAGAGAAGGCTAAAGTCTTTGTAAAATGGCAGCTCCCATGATTCCATAACATTGAGACATGGCAGTTAAATGGTGTCAAACTGCATTAATTCTAGTGTGGCTGCAATTGAAGATAAAATAGAACCAAATTAAAAAGGAGGAATAGTCAAAATGCTATTAAATGGAAGCAAAAGCATCTGAATACATTACTCTGGGGAGGTATAAGTGGAAACCATCAGCTGCTGTCCAACAATTATTTTCTTTCATTGTTTAGTTCATCTTTTCCATAGATCCAAATGGTGAAGGTGTCATCCACATATCTGAACCATATAGTGGGCTTT